TCCATTTTTGAAATAATTCCATGTCCTTAGAGACAGAGGTGACATATATTTATTTATATGTCTTAGGAAGGAGATTGTGGAGTCAAAGGCACAGCCAGTATGAACAGTATGTGCAGTCTGTCACTCTGCACATATAGGTAGCAAGTGCCAATAAGATGAATTACTTTGGGAATTTGGACACTGCTGCAATCACATCAGTGCTGTTTACACAAGTTTGTTGGGTTCATGGAAACGAAGAAGAGGAAATATATACCATTTTACTTAGGACTCTAGGTTGCAAGTGACAGAAAATTGAGTGTAAGCTGAATTAAACAAAAAAGCTATCTTATTGATTCACATAACAACATGGTCCAGGAATACTGCTTTTCAATCATGTCTCAAAGAAGGTGATCAGAAATGGTTTCTATCTTTTGGTGTTGCTTTCCTTCTCAGACTTCATGTGGAGTAAAGATGGCAGTAGCAGTTCCATTCTACATGTTTCAAGGTTCAAGTCCATCTGGGAAGAATCTTTGCATCTGTCCCCAAAGTCTCAAAAAAAGTCTCATTGGCTCTGATTGGGTCACTGCTTATCTCCAATCACTTTGCAAGAAATGAGATGTGCTAATTGGTGTAGACCAATCAGGATATATCTTTGGAATTGGCAGTGGGTTAATCCTGCCCAAACACATGGGTTCAGAATAGATTTATGATGGTTTTCCAAGGTCAATTTGGAGAATGGATGCTGGCTGGCAGACACGACAGATGTCCCCCACAAACACTCACATCTGTTACATTTCTACTTTTCTCACAGGTAGTCTGCTAGTGCTTTACATACATTACTTTATGTAGCACATGAAATGTTTTTCTTTTGGTGATTCTGTCTCATCTGTAGGCTAGCCCTGGAGCGTGTGTGTGTGTGTGTGTGTGTGTGTGTGTGTGTGTGTGTGTGAAGTGGGAAAGGTGAAAGGCTATTACTCCTTGGTGTGCCCTAGATATGGAGCTCCCAATCTTACTTAAGTTGATTCTTGGAAAAAAATGCTTTATAACATGATTGTGTGAATTAATGACCCACTGGATTAAAGAAACAAATAGAGCTAAGTAACATTGGATGTAGGTGGAACTAGATAGCTCTCACCTTCTATATCCTGTCTTTTCCCATCAACTGCAGACACTATTTTTAAGCTATGTATATGTCATATGCTATTCAAATATAAGGGAAAATAGTTCTTTTGTATCCCATCTACTGTCTAGCATAGAGCCAGGCACCAAATAGAATAATAATTGTTGACCAATGTTTCAAAATGTAGATGTCTAATTTCTGATTTATAAGCCACGTGCAATTGCTCTGATTTCAGGCTGCTACTCAACAGCCAGAATGGAGTTTGTGGAGGATAAAGGAAAGCAGATTTTCTGTAAAAATATGGTCTTTCGTGGTTGAGTCAGGCTTGGCAGAAGAGAGAGACATCCAGTTACTGAGCAAAGCCCCTCTTCTTTGTATTCCTGACCTTGAAAAACCCACATGTCTTCCAACTCCTTCATGTCAGTCTCCTTAGGACAGTCAGAAGGAAGTAGAAGGGATGCAATTTTGTCCCAGTATCTGTACAGAATTAACCAACAGGTAATATTTTAATAACTATGTATGGTGCCAGGTCAGTACTAAAAATATTATGGGGAAGACTTTGTAAATTATATGATTGTCTAACCACCATGAAACACCTGAAATTAACTCCAAAATAATATTGCACATAAACTGTAATTGAAAAATTTAAAAAAGTGCTAACAAGCATTAGTCTTTTTGATAGATTAAATCTATTTAGTTTTTAACATCTGCATTAAAAAAGAATTAACCAGGATAATTAAATAGTGGCCAAGGAAAAGTTATTTTTGTTGTATCAAACAATCTATTCTATTAAAAAACTTTTAGAAAACTTTATGAGCATATTATGTGATATCTGCACTCAGATAAGCTACATGCTACAGAAATTAGGGTAGTTTTCACATTTCTACAGTTTTCCCAAGTTCCATGGCCTTGAAATTATTCTAACAGTACCTGTGCTGTGGCTGTAATGTGGCTTCTGTGAAATCAAGCCCGCTCGGCCCCTGGACACACATGCAGTCCAGGAGGCCGTCAGTCTCTGAGAGGGTGAAGTTTTCTTTCAGGGCTATAAACCAGCCAAAATTCACAAAAAGGAAGCTTTAAATTTTGACATTGGGAACGGAGTTGTTAAAACTGGCTTTTAGAGTGATGAAGCTGCAATTTGGTATTCTGAATACATTCTCTGTTATCCCCGGCCTCCCTCCACTCCCTCGGTCTGAGCACTTGCATTTAGAAACTGGTAGAACTGTTGTCTACGCTAACATTGCCTCTTTTCTCCATTGATTTTTGTTGTGAATAGGCTTCCTTGAATTCATGGTCATCTGCATCTTTAGGGTTCCCCTAAGGGATATTGGATTTCCTGCTTGGAGGACTAATCAGAACCATTAATCAGCCACGAAAATAAGCACTGGCCTATAAACTGAAGGCATAAAGAAAATCAGGGCTGGCTTATTGAAAATTAGGTAGTAGGTATAGAAAAATATATTTATTTATGAATACTGTGTAGATCCATAAGGACTTGAAGTGGTGAGAAATTTTTTCTTTCTTTTTTAAAAATTGAATTTATTGGGGTGACATTGGTTAATAAAACCATACAGATTTCAAGTGCACACAACTCTATAACACAACGTCTGTATATGGCATTATTCACTCACCACTCGAGTCAAGTCTCTTACCGCCACCATTTATTCCTCCTTTGCCCTCTTCCACCTCTGCCCACCCCCCTTTCCCTCTGGCACTCACCATACTGCTGGCTGTGTCTATTTTTTTTCTTAATCCCTTCACCTTTTTCACCTAACCCCCTCTAATAGCTGTCAGTCTGTTCTTGGTATCTATGAGTCTGTTTTTATTTTATTTGTTAATTGTATTCGTTAGAATCCACATGTAGGTGAAATCATCTGGTATTTGTCTTTCTCTGACTGGCTTATTTGACTTGGCTTACTACTCTCCAGGTCCATCATGCTGTCACAAAAGGTTAGATTTCCTTCCTTTTTTATGACCAAGTAGTATTTTGTTGTGTAAATGTACCACAGTATTTGTATCCACTTATCTATTGATGGGCACTTGGGTTGCTTCCAAAATCTTGGCTATTGTAAATAGCACTGCTATGAACATAGGAGTGCACACAATCTTTTGAATTAGTGTTTTGGATTTCTTTGGATATATTCCCCAAAGTGGGATTACTGGGTCACAAGGCAGTTCCATTTTTAATTTTTTGAGGATACTCCATACTGCTTTCTCCAGTGGCTGCACCAATTTACTTTTCCATCAACAGTGCATGAAGGTTCCCGTGTCCCCACATCCTTACCAACACTTGTTTGTTGATTTATTGATGATAGCTATACTGACAGGCATGAGGTGATATTACATTGTGGCTTTACTTTGCATTTATCTGATGATTAGTGATGTTGAGCATCTTTTCATCTGTCTATTGGCCATTTGTATGTATGTCATTTTTGGAGAAGTGTCTCTTCAGGTATTTTGCCTATTTTTGGGTTGGATTATTTGTTTTCTTGGTGTTGAGTTGTATAGTTCTTTTATTTTTAAATATATTTTTATTGATTTCAGAGAGGAAGGGAGAGGAAGGGAGAGGAAGAAACATCAATGATGAGATGGAATCATTGACTGGCTGCCTCCTGCATGCCCCCTACTAGGGACAGAGCCCGCAACCTGGGCATGTGCCCTTGACCGGAATTGAACCCGGGACCCTTGAGTCCACAGGCCGACTCTCTATACACTGAGTCAAACCAGCTAGGGCTGTATATTTATTTATAAGTTTTGAAAATTAACCCTTATGAGATGTATCATTGGCCAATATGTTCTCCCATTCAATGGGTTGTCTTTTCATTTTGTGTATTGTTTCCTTTGCTGTGAAAAAGCTTTTTAGTTTGATGTAGTCCTATTTGTTTATTTTTTCTTTTGTTTCCATTGCCTGAGGAGACATAACAGAAAAATATTACTACCAGAAATGTCTATTTCTGAGCCATCATGTCCGGGCCTTATTTGCTTTTTAAGAGTAATGAACATTCAATGGGCCTATATGTCTGATCAAGTGGATAAAGGTAAATTCACAGAGCTACTTTTCATGAATCATTTCTTAAGTCTCTGATATTAATTTTTCTACAAATGAGGAAAATGGCATCTAGCTTAGATTATGTTTGTGAGTATGTATGTGTGTTTGCATGTGTATATATGTACATGCGTGCATGCTGTACATGTGTGCATACCTTTTTCTTCCTCAAGCTACAACAGCACTTTTTTATCCTATGAACACTATCACTGATTTGCTGTTCTGTCCTCCATTTCTCTTCCCCTGTGTCATAGCCTCCTGGAAATCCAACATATGTCTTATTTTGCTTGTTTTCAGCTTTGAGTATAATTCTGGGGATCACAGGGCTCAACATATCTTTTTGAATAAAAAAAAATAAAAAAATATATTTTCCTTGGCCTATGTATCATCATTTATGCCTCTTTTCTATTAACCCAATATGTCCTATTTTAGCTACTCCAATTTATTTATAAATGACACCTTTTTTACCTGCTCCCCAAGGCTTGTTTTCTAACATGCCTTTCCATTTTGCTTTTCCCCATCCCAGACTTCTCACGCCCTCCCAAACCCCGCCAGTTCACATGGATTTACACCCTTCTCCCTTGACTTCCTGGCTCAAGTCTCTCTTTTGCTTCCTGCCAACTTTCTCTGCCTGTGGTAGATTACACTAGTGCTCACTTATTCTGATTGTTGGGGTTGGTATTGGTAGCCTTGAACTTTAGGGCCATTTCATTTGACATCTTTTCTGTGTTTCTCTTTATTTGAAATGCTTGCTCTATTTCTGCTGTTGTCTGCTCTCCCCTCCTAAAGAGTCTTACTCCAGTCTTGGATCTATACACCTTTGTCACCATTTTCTTCCACCCACTCCCTACTTACTTCCTGTCAATGTCCTTATCTTCATCTTCACCTTTGTCCTTAGGTGTGCTCCCACTCCTATAACTTTTTGGATTCTTCTGACTCATAGTTTCTTTTTCTCCATGATCTGCAATACTGTCCTTTGCCATTTGATATCAGCTACCTAGTGGCATATCCATCCTGGATCTCTAGATACCAAGGCAGCGTTCCACTTCCGCCAAGATAACTTCAGTCTGGCAGGCTGAATTTAAGGCTGCAAATTCATTCCTGAATTTAATTTCTACTTTAAATTTTTCTTTTCCATGTGGTAGAGTCTACTCATTCCCACCCATCTCTCCCTACCCAGTTCCTTCCCCCTCAGCATCCCTCTTTCAGTATAGGAATATTTTACCTGGCCACAGGGTGCGGTAGCCTAGTTCTTTCTCTTTAGGTCTTCTCTCCCAATTTTGTGTTTATATCCTGAGTTCCATCAGAATCGAGGCTTTTGAAATGCAAAGCCATTTTTTTCTGCTTTATATGATAACATTCCTTCCCCAAGTAATGAATGCAACAGTGTTGTGTGCGTTGGGTGAAGGAAACATAAGAGAGAGGGAAAAAATTACAGAAAGAGAAAAAAGTTAATATTTTAAACATTTTGTTCACTGCCCTACCCTTCCTCTCTTTGATCACAACTGTCTATCTATCCTTCCATTCATCCCCTTCAGCTCCCACAGCTGTTTCTATTACTTAAAATTCAAAGTTGTCATTAAAAAAAAGCCTAAAAATAAACTATAACATGTATGTACTATTTTTCTTAAGTTCACTAAAAAATTCAGATCTCTGCATTGGGCAAGGCAGATTCTATTGACTGAGCATAGTAGATGAAAGATAAAAAAATCAGTCAGCCATCAAAGCATTTATGAGTATCTGAAAAAACAGTAAGGAAAAGGAATTTTCTTAGGTTACCTCAGTAATTCATTGACCATTAAAAGTACTTGATATCCTGGGATTAAAAAAAATGTAGAATATAAATAGGAAAATATTTTAAAAACTATTTAAAAGGTTTTGGAAATAACATAAAGACTTCAAGGTGTTCTGTTAACTATTGGTTAGCAAAAGACTGACGTCTATTTGATTGTTCTAAATATCAACTGTATATATTTTTAAGTTGGAATTTTAAAGGCTAAGCAGTGCTACATTCAGCATACTCATTATAATTATTTACTTCTTCTACCCTTGGAATTTCAATAGATTTTGGTTAAAAAAAACCCAACATGATCCCTCCAGACAGTATATAGCAGAGAACAAAATTAGCAATATTAATCTGAATTTTTAGCATAAAAATAGAAAGAAGAAAAGCTAAAGCCTTCTTTGAATCTTTAATTTGAGACTTGAATCTTGATCTTAAGTTTGCAGAGTGCAGAGAGCATTCTCCAGCGCTACCATCAGGTCCCTCTTCTCAGTCAATTTTATTTATGTAGAATCTTTCATCAAAAGATCACAAAGAGCTGTCTAACCAGCTATAAAGAAACATAAATCAAAAAGAAAATGAAATGCTCAAACAATAAAATTATACATTAGAGGCCCATTTAAAGCAGAGCATTTTAAGATGAGAGAAAAGTCTTGGCTGGAGTATATAGAACATAAGTTATAATGGGAAGCTATTTCATAATTTGGTGAAAAATGAAAGAGGCCCACTTCTGATAGTGGAGAGCCTATTAATAGGAATGATCACTTGCATACCAGTGCTTTAATGAAGGGGGTGAAGAGCACAATAATGTGAAGTGGAATTGACAAAGTATGGTGGCACTATTCTTGCTGCTCCAGGGAGGAAAAGAATTTTTTTTTTTATTCCACAAATGGGCATTGTGCCCAAGTATCATGCTCTTTAGCATGCCTATTGCCGATTGCTATTGTGCCTTTCTCAGAAGGCTCTATGCTCAAGTCCCACAGTACATATATAATATACATATCATATTTATGATATATATCCACCACACAGGGGTCTCAAGGAAGCCACGGTGATCTTTCAATCTCCGCTGTCATCTTTACTTGCTTCTTCAGCATAGATTAATTCAGTGCTCCCCAACTCTCAGGGTTTCCAATTTATAGTAAGGAAATATTTATTTTAATGTCCCTACACATAGGGAAAATGTAAGAATCTTATAATACTATTGCTTTAACAAAAACCAGCAGAAGTTCTTTTAAGCTTGTTTATATAAAAAAGCTAAAAAAATTTTTGAGACATCAGTCTTATGTTTTATTGGCATTATAATAAATATCAAGAAAATGTTCTTTGGCATAAAGTTTATAACATTCAGATTAAATCCTACATTCTGAGTTTTAGAATTTCAAATATCTCTAAGTTTTCAGTTTCCTTTTGTTCAAACATGACTCTTCAGATAATTTATCTTATGGCTTGAGGATTATGCCTGACATGTTGTGGGAATAAAATTTATGCAAAGTGTGATATTTACACCTTTGTTAACATTAAACTTCATGTTCAAAATGATATACACTCTGCATGCAATATATGCCGAGTTTAAATGATAATGGTACAGATATACAATTTTAGCTTTTTCTTCATTTTATGATCTCAAGAATATGTGGTTTATTCTTTGTATGCTCCCCAGAAATTAAGAATTGGCAAGTAATGGACTAATATGCAAGGAGGATGCAACATGGGCATAGGATCATCTCTATCCCACAGGGCCATCTCTCTGCATTAGTGACATTCGAAGGAAGACTTAAAACAAGAAGAGGAGCTAGCCATGTACTAGTAAGTAGGGAAAAAAGAGCTCTCAGCAGAGGGAACAGAATGTACAAAGGAGGAAAGAGATGAGGAAAGAGATGTTTGAGGAACTGAAAAAGTTCAGTGAACCTGAGAGCAGTCAACATAAGAGAGTGAGTTGGTAAAAATAAAGATTCATAAGCCAGGTGCCAGTTGCAAATAATGGAAGGCAGTCATGGCTATCCTAAGTAGCAAGGAGTTCATTGTAATGTAGTGGATAGCTCCCGTAATTGTGAAAAACATGGAGAAATAGGCTTGGAAAATGAGCAGGAACTAAGGAAGGGCAAAAGGAGAAACTGTCTCTTTAGGATAATGCTGGTGTTTGTGCCTCCACTGGACGGTTAATGCTGTTAATGGATGTCCATAAGGAAGAATTTCTTACCTATCTCCCCAGCTTTATGGCCTTCTCCTGGGATTCGGAATCCCACCTGGAGGGAACCAAATGGCCAAGCATAGGTCATGGCTGTGTGCCCCAGCTGGGGCGGAGGTGGGGGTGGGGTGTCGAGAAGAAATATATGGACGCTTGGCCTCAGGAAGACTCACAAAATAGGGATCTGCTACCACATAGGAAGGGAATTTAGTTGACGGGCAGCCAAATGGCCCCAACCCATAGGAAGGAATTTAGATTTTGTTTAGGTGCAATGGGAGGTCAATAACAGTTTTTGGTAGCATAGTTCCATGTTTTATCTAAAGATCACTTCTGTTGTTCTTGAACATGTCTTGGGTTAAATGAAGTAACACTCTAATCTTAACCATAAAGAAGAAAAATATCAACACTAGATAATTTAAACATAATGTCAATAAAAGGATAATTCCTTCTTTCAAATAGTAACTAGAATTTAAAACTTGATCAATAAGGTATAAGTGCTTTGAATATTTTTGCTCTTACAGTTTTAACTGCCTCTAGCTTCTCATTCTTTAAAGTCAGGATTGAGGAGGGTTTAGTTCCGACCTCCGCTTTAACTCTGGAGGACTACAGCAGGAGATCAAAGAACAAAACAGGGACTATATCAAGCAATGAAGCCTGCACCAAGAACTTGGTAAGGTTTCAGTAAAACTCAGAAATGAAACTGGACATATTTTTTCTTTTCTCTCTTTCTTTTTCTTTTCTTTTCTTTTCTTTTCTTTTCTTTTCTTTTCTTTTCTTTTCTTTCTTTCTTTTTTTTTTTTTTTTTTACAAAGATTCCAAAGCTACAAACAAAGCATTTGGCCCTGTGAACACTGGTATGTTAAAAAATTGCTACTCTTTTCATTGTGCCTTCTTTGAAAGCAATTTTGGAGAAATAGAAATAATTTAAAATACCATTTTTTTCTACAGTCATAGATTTTCAAATTACTGGCAGACGTGATACAAATTCTTAGTGGGTGTCTAAAAGAAAGGAAAATTCCAGTTGAGGAAGGACTGAAATTTGCTGCCCACTAGTTTCTCAAAGTGAACAGTAGGAAATCATTTGGAAATTTGAAAGGGAAAAAGATCTCCAGTTTTCTGTGATAGTGTCATGGTAGTAAAATTCAGGTAGCTAATATATTTCAAAAGCTGTTAGTAACCCTGACATAATCTAATGAATTTGCTAAATGATTAATAATTTATAAAACAGTCTTTTTGTAACAAAAATGAAAATTTCCCTAAATGTACACTTGAGATAAAAATAAATTGGAGGCATTTAATAAGATCAACTCTTGCCAGAAAAGCCAATTGAATTATAGTGTGACATGTAGCTCATCTCACCACACTTGCCCACGTATGCGTGCGCATGTGCGTGCGCACACACACACACTCTACTGATACAACAAATTAGATATGCTTATTTGATCAATTTGTCAATTTCCCTTCAGACTATAGTTTTTAGAGCCAATTGGATTTGCATTTAGAAAAAAAGAAGAAAGAGGAAAGACAAATTATTTGTCGAATATTTTCTTCTAGACAATGTGTTTGGTGATTAATATATGTTTTTATTTAAATCTTATGATAACTTTCCAGGTAATAATTACTATTTGATAAGTGAGTAAATTAAGGGCTCAGAGAAGTTAATAAGTTTTACAAGGTCACAGAGCTAGTATGTATGCAGAGCTGAGATTCAAAGCTATGTTTTGACTAACTCCTTATTTATATTCTTTCTGCTCTTCCCTGCTGCCTCCCCGAATTAAAAAAAGTAAGCTGCTGTAATTTAAGGCTAGGATGTGTTCTTGTATTAGATCAAACCACACAAAATTCTAATATTAGATTGTTTTGACCTACAAAAATGGCAATATAAATGTTTTCATTAAAATTATAAAAATCTGCAAATAATGGTATATACTTCATTGCAAATATTGGTGAAACTAATTTTGCCTTCAATCATTATCTGATAACATGATGTTTATGTAAATAATAGTAGT